TTTATACGTAAAATTTAAACAAACAAGCTATTTCACATGCATAATTCAATGGAAACGACCAAATCTTAATTTCATTTACATAAGTAGTTTTAGCTGCAGTTGAAACATAATATAAGGATTTATCACTCATACCTTTACATACATTCTTTACATACATACCCCCGACTATGCTAAAATTTTTAATGAAACTAAACGATGAGAACATTACATAAAAATATGTACATACCTCCAGCTCAAAAAGTAACCGGATTTTGTACATAAAACACAAATTTAAATTTTATTCCAAATTTATTTTATCTCCTTCAAAATATGCTCCTTCTAAACCGATACACATATGCCAACGCTTAATCCAATCTCCCATATACTTTTCGTAGGCCCGTGAAGGTGTGGCTTTTAGTTCCTTCAGCGAATTCTCTTTTATCGATTCAATCGACTCAAAACGCTTACCACGAATAGGCAATTTGAGTTTTGGGAACAGGAAAAAGTCTCACGGATCCAGATCTGGTGAATATGGTCCCTGAGCGATGACAGTAGTGCCGTGTTTGGTCAAACAATCGCGTACAACAAGAATTTGCCATAGTAAAAATCGCTAAATGCACTTGTAGTAGTCTCACATTAACAGTTGCTGTAAACAAACTAATTGACAGATGGCGCTCAAATTTGTACCATATGTCAAGAAAGGGTGTACCAACATAAAGGTCTATTACTTAAGGAGAAGTTAACAAACAACAAAACTTTTGATACTTTTTGAGCAGAAGGTAGGTATATCTTGATGCCTTATAATACTAATACCCCTACTTAATGTTAATTTATCTCCATTACTTTATAAGAATCTATATGATCACCCTTGGGTAAATCTCTACAATTTTTTAATTAAACATGAAAGGTTTTATTTTAAAACAAAATATTTTGAATGGTTTATTTAGATCACCTTTAAAGAAATGTGACTATCTATAGATTGAATTTTTTAATGCAAAGGTTAATATGTCAACATGGTCCAGTGCTTGTTAGTTCGTGAAAAAAAATAATTTAACCAATAAAAATCCTGTTTTTTTTTTGTTGAAAGTTAAGTAACATTTCATACATAATTTATAAAACAAAAATATATTCAGCCGCGATTATCTTTAATTGATTGCAGCAAAAGATGCTGTCCTTGAAGATGAAACCGGCATAAAAAACATTTGTAAATTTAAAATAAAAAACTTTTACTCTTAACTTAAAAAAAAAAAAAATAATCAACAGACTTACAATAAAATAGTACACCGAAAAAAACAATTATTAAAACGAATTTTAACAAAATAAAATAATTATATTGTGAATGTTATAGAATAAAAATAAAAAAAAAATTAAATGATTGTACTTAAAATAATTATAATATATTATATAAATATTGGATAATTATAATGGTAATAATTATTACCATTAATAAAAAAAACTCATATGTTATATATTCTTTCTGGTATATACATAGGTACCCATACGTATATCTCTTCATTTTGAACAGATTTTCACCTTTGAAGGTGAAAAGATTGCAATAGAAAGAGATAGGAATAAGATAAAAAGATAAGTTAAAAAAAGTAATACTTAATGGTATTTTAAATTCATATAAATATATTGTAAGTTTACTCTGCTTTTTATATACAGACCCATGCAAGGAGACTAAATCTCCCTTTTAACCAACAGGTATGGTTAGTTGTGGAGAGGACGATGAAAGTGCCTTCCATCTACTTTGCTTCTATATAGCACATGCGCGGCGCCGCCTTATCACTTTAGGAGATTTCTTTTTCGAGAATTTTCGCGAACTGCACGACTTCCCTCTAAATAGCATTATGAGCTTTGCCAAAGGCTCTAAGAGATTCTATCCCTTACGTTTTTAGTTATATGGTAACATAATGGGCATATAGGGCTTAGTGGATCCTTTGGGATCGTCGGTACAACCTAGAATAACTTTATATACAAACAGAATTGTATACTCTGTAACGTTTGTAATTCAGAATATATAAAGAAATTGAAGGGAATTAATGAATAAATAATACTTGATCGTATTTAATATATAACCTTATATAAAGTAGATGTGTTAGATCTATGAAAAAAAATACAAACACTTAATATTAATTTTGAATATATTGATTATATATTTTTCTTGAAGTGTTATGTGTAGAAGTCTTTAAAATAATCATTAACAATAATCATTATCTGTTCTTTATTGGAAGTTATCACGAATTGAGATAAATAATCGAACTTAAATCTGGTGAGTAGGGTTCTTGAGAAAATAGTTCGTTATGTTAGCTAGTACGTATCAATGGCTAATTTTTTAAATAGTAAAACGGAGTCAACAGCTTTATTGAATAATAATTGAATTGGATTGGAATAAGCACATCAAATCTATTAGTTACTATAGATTACTATCTCGTAATTATAACTCGGTGCAATGCTAAATACTCTTTTCTATTTTTCTAACGGTTTTAAATTAATTAGATTCAGATTTACTGATCTGAAATCTGTAATCCGTTTGTCTCCTATACATCTAGATCTCTGACAATATGGGTTAAGTTTCAAAAACTGAGATTTTAATATATCAGTTTGTTAAATAAAAAAATTTTATTTTAGGATAAAGAAATTCCCTCTTTTCAGTAAACTTGCTACGAATAAATAGATAACCATTTTTAACTTAGTCATCCTTTCCCAAACACCCTTATTGCTGTCTTGAAACGAGAGATTTTTCCCATTAAACTTAGTATATTTATTAGCATTATAAAATTATATTTATTGTTTATAATTAGACACGATTTTTTTTCAGTGTATACTTTCAGTTTATATACGTCAAGTTAAGTAAGTAAGTAAGTTAGTGAAATAGAATTTGCCGGACAGGTTCTACAAGTTTCACATTGCGGTTAAATGGAATGCTAATTAATAAGAAATATAAAGACTTACATTTCTCAGCGTGTATTGAGTATAATTTTGTTAATAATAATAAATTAATCCAAACCTTCCTAATGCAAACAACAAATAGAAGACAAAGAAGTAAAAGTGTAAATTCTTAGTATTATTAAATGAGCAAATAAACAAAAAAAATATTACTACTTGTGTACTAATATATTTAATTATAGTTAGTCATTAGAAATAAAAAATTTTTTTCAATATTAATATAAAAATATTGTACGGATATAAAATATATTAATAAAAAGTGTGAGACCTTGAATGACTTAGTTAGGACTCAATCACAATTATGCTATCTTTAGGCAATTGCTATATCATGCTATCTCCTTTCTTTTTTTAAATATTGCCTGCTTATTTGAAAACTCTGATTATGAGGAGGTTTTTTTTAACTTCAAGTAAGGATTAATGAGCTACACATATCACTATTAAACTGCTCTCTACTTTAGATAAACGTACTATAACTGTCCCAATAAGAAACAAAGAAAATACGTTCGGAATATTACTCTGGAGCAATGCTTTTTAACGTGAAGTATGTGACCCATATGGGACCATTTTGGTTGTTACGGGAGACATTTAATAATTAAACGTAATTATAATAAAAAATTTTGAAAGCCTTTAGAGGGATAGGAAATCTGATCTAGAGCAATAAACCAAGCTTAAAACCTAATAAGATTTGTTTAACCAAGCACATAAAATAAAATTTGGGATATTCTAATGGACGTAGAAATAATGTAGATAAGGAACACTTTCTTCACATGTAAGTAGAAGAGCAGAATAAAATGAAGTCTTTTTACTGAAATATTCAATAAGTACTATTACTATTCATAACATGATAATTCATCTATGATTGCTTAACAAGACTGGGAAATGAGTCCCATTACTTCGTCATAACTTCTGTCCAACATAGGGGATGTGTAGAAGTATTGTTTTCATTATAGAATATTATTTTTGACACATTTAATGGAAAGCATCAAAAACCACCGTTTGTAAAACCACGTTTTAGAAAATTTGAACACAAATGTCTATGTGCTAAGAATCCTAATGCTGTAATCAAGGAAAAGTAAAAATTAAGCCAATACTTAAACGAGGACGGTACTGAAGAGAGAAATTAGACTGTTAAAGGAAGTTGAATGGTAAACATGAGATATAAACCTTGTGACTGGTGTTACAAAAATGCCGCTACTAGGCGGAGTGATGAAAAAAATAGATTGATTATTTTTTTATTTATTACCAGATAGAGAACAGAGTTGATTTAAATATAAATTTTTGAATACAAAGTATATAATAATATCTATCGATAACCACCTCATAATAGATGTTCCAAATATCACCAAAAATAACTAAATATGAATATATGGAGTTCTTCACAACAACAGTGTACTCCAAGAATTCAATTAATAAAAATTAATTTTTAGTTCACTCTATAGTTTATATACTTTTTTTAGCATTAGTTATTATATTAAATCATTTTGAAAGTAACCCAAAATAGATTAAGGTTATAATAAAAATAAGCGAAGACTTCAAAAGTTTAACAACTTTCTTTCTTCTACCAAAATTGATATTTCCAGTCCGTTCTGAGTTTCCAAAACAAAAAAAACTAAACGAAGTACATAGAAGTATGTACGAAAAGTTCATTAAATAATTAAGAAAGCATGTGTCTTTAAAATTTATATCACGTACCTTCCAATGTACACTCGTCATAAAGAACAGTACACCCAAAATGTATAGAGAGTTGCCACAATATTTTAACGGAATTATTTTATATTTTTAATTTGACGAAAAGCTAATAAAATCACTGAGACGACAGATTAGAGAGAATAAAAAGATAAAATTTATAGAATTAAATATAGTTATATTATAGTATATATAAAATATATAAATTATTATGGCAACCAAAATATAAAATTACTATTTTTAATATGGGTACAATTAGTTCCTAAAAATATCTCTAATTTCTTTTTATAATAGTTGAAATATTTGAAATTTTAATAAGCTATTAACAAAACAAATAATATAGAAAAAAAATAAATTAACAAAATAAAATAATTAATTAAATAAAATAATTCAAAATAAAAAATAAAAATTTTAAATATCAGTTAAATGTCGTCATAATTTTCACTGGGAGTGAGTTCTGGTTCGGGTTCAGAAGAGTGTTTTTCCGCAGCCAAACGCTCATTTAATTCCATTTGCGCATTAATGAACCATTCATAACCGAAATTGACATCACGCAACGTGTTATTCGCTTTCGCTTCCTCAAACCATTCCATACGATCGGTAGGACTACCGAGCGATTGATTCAATAATTGTCGCCGCTGGCGAGCACGTTTCATAAATTGTACATAATCCATTTCTTCAAACGTTTCATATGAATCAAGTTCTTCTTTCGCCTGCTCTGCTATAGTATCATAATCATCAGACACATCCAATATATGTTCGCAACCTTCTTTCACTGAATCAAAGTGCCCTTCGTGAGCTTTTTCAGTTGGTAACAGACGAGAACGTAAATTTGCCAGCTCTTCGGCACAATCTGCCAAGGCTTGCTTAACTTTTTCTTTTTTATCAGCTTCATATTTCAAACGTTCTTTCTCTAATTGTGTTTCAATACGTAACTTTTCTGCATTCATCCTTTTACGCGACATAAGAATATTTAGCATCCGTTTAAAATTCAACTCTTCCCATTGCTTTCTCATACGCTCTGGATAGCTTTCATGAATCATAGCTTCTTGTGCTCTGTAAAACATATAAAAAATATTTTTTATACCCATATTTAAATTAAAATTTTGAATAGACATTGTTCAAACTTATACTGAAATGTCTGTTCAAAAATTTTAACAGACCTTCTTTCTTCTGCTTCTTCTACAAGTCTGCGTTGTTCATCTAACAACTTTTGTTTCTCCACTCTTTCCATTTCTTTCAGCGCTTCCATCTTAGCTTTTTTTTTGGCTTCTATTATATCTTGATTTTCCTCATAATATTTTTTCTCCCAAGCATGCATTGCTATCTTACGTTCAATTTGCCTTTCGATATATTCCGCAAATTTCTAACAAAAAACACCTTTATATTTTCCATAAATTTAAGAACATAATTTAATAGAAGTTCTTACGTCCTCTTCACCTTCCATAGCATAGTAGAATCCAGGCGGTAGTTTCACCATGCGAAAACTGCTGTTATAATCTCCTATACCAAGTAATTTTTCTGGTTCAGTTGGAGGATGCTCTATTACATAAGTTACACATCCACCACCCATGATATCATTAAAGCAAGGTTCATCGTCTCGTGCTAACAATTTTAAAGAATTTGGCTATCATAAATGATTTGCATTATGTATTGTGGTGCGATATATTTAAGTAAGAATATTTCAAAATCAAACAAAATAAGTTAAGTCAATAATGAATACAAGTACATTATTCTTTTAAACTTATTGCACATTTTAAGAATAAATAAATAGTCCTTCTACCCTGGCTCTCAAATAATAGCCAAAATAAGAAAAACTGACAGATTTTCTACATTGTTCAAGTCGGGTTATCCGATATAAGCTAACGTTTCGTGTATACGAATATCTCTGATATATTCGATAATCATAGATCTGAAGTCTATGATTTTATGTTAAGTATTGTTTTTTATTGAACCCATCCATTTGGGTTCAATTCATATTGTCCATGTTCTAAACATAATCTCTCCAAGCGAGCGCACTATGTTGGTAGATGTTTTTGTAGCGAAGACATAGTATTTATCTATTCCTGTCTGGACAAAATGTTGGCTCTGCAACTACATCATAACACCCTTCGTTGATTTTAGTCTTTCTGGAACCAAGTTAGTCCTCTTTATGTGATATTCCTAAATCTGTATATCTCAAAACTTCCAGTTGTTATTATACATAATACTATGTAACAAAATTAATCGTACATTTCAAAAATCATCAAAGTCCGCTGTGCTTTAAACTGCACTCAATATCCATAACTGCTAAACCCTGTGAGGCCTTATAAATTGATTTTGTTATTCATCGCTCAGACAGTACTTTGCGAAGTAGGTACTTACAAAACTAAAGCAAAAGAAGCTACATTGGTGTGAAGTCGATTTCTTATTCGAGACTGTATACTACAAAAATATAGTTTAGAATTGAACCCGCTTTTTCTATCTCTAGGCAGAAAATGTGACTGCCTAAGATAATGTGAAATGTACTAAAACAATTTTGGTCGGCGTATAACAAAATACTAACTATAACCTATCAATTACTGACAATTTTGATGTTAATTAATTAAGGCTGATGTAGCCTTAATTATAGCTTTTCATATTAAAACATAGTCGACTTAATCAATTATTCCATCTCGCATATAATTCTGAACCACATCAATTAATGATGCTACTCTCTTGAACTATCAAAAGTAAGCGTTGTCTTACCTAGATAAAGATTTAAAAAAAGACATTTATATACCATAGGTAAGAGTAATACCACGCTGTTATCTGTGTTATCTATCTATCAATCTATCATTTATTATCTCATATAACAAAAACTTACCTAGAATATCCCAAACTTCTAAATTTCCATCTGCACGTGTGATAAACAATACTGACGGTCGAGTTGTACTCCAAGCAGCTGAAGTTAAATCGCTAGGACGTTTTCGCCATAAAATTGGTGATGTATGAAACTCAGCTTTCCAAACAGCAAATACAGTAGTCCCAACAGTTACAAAAATATTTGTTAAAAATGGATTAGTTTTTGTTGCAACTATTGGACCATCATGCACTCTTGCGAAACTTGCCACAGATGAAACTCTCTCTCCCTCATCAGTATCATTGAACACTCCAACCCAATTAATTTTTTCAACATGACCATATAGTGTTGATATAATAAATGTTTGCCGCATTTCTGGTGGATCCTTTGGAGTTAACGCTATGCGATAATTAATTTTATTTCTACGTAATCTACGATGATCTAAAACCGTTAATTGAAATTGTGACGTATCACCGACAATTCCTGTTATAGGTTCTTTATAATTTAATTTATAAGTGGGTTTAAATTTTTTATTCTTGTGTACCGATTCGCTTTTGAGTAGAGCTTTGGGTAAATTAGCTCTAATTGTTCGTTTGACTTTCTTGTCCGGTGGTGCATTGAAATCCCAAAATGCAATACCACCATCCAACGAGCAAGTAACAAAAAAATTATATGAACTACTTTGCATAGGATCGACAAAAATTTTGCCATATGCATTAATGTAAAAATTTCGGCTCATCCAATAAATGCCCGTTATTGCATCCGTATGAGAATACTCTAGAGCTGAAGTAGCTGCACGCATTACGCGATGTTCCTCATTAAGGTCAATAGTATGTTTCAAATATTCCGCCATGATATTTTGGTAACGAATTTGTGCTGTTGTCATTATTACCGTATCTTCCAGACTATCAATACGGTTTTGTAGATCCCATAATATGAGTTGTCCATTTTTTGCACCTCCTAGCAAACAGTTACCATCATATGGGTTAAATGATAAGTGAGTGACTTCCAGTGGTGAATCAAATTGTAGTTTGTAATTTAGATTATCAGAAAAACTCCACAATAGTATAGGATTTGGCTCCATAATGGCACGTTTAACGCTACTATATTTTTTTGGTACTACACAAATAATTTTGGATAATAAAATTAAAATTTTTAAAGTAAAATATTTTCGGATTTATTACTCACTTGTTTCCGAAGTGCAAGCTGTACTAAACGTATAAGATACTGCCAATATTCCACTGTTTGATTAAATAATAAAATTGAAACTAATAGATATTATATAAAACTTATGATAATGTACTCTAGACTTACGATAAATGTGGATACCAATCTGCACTGCAAACAAATCGATTTTGACTCTTAGCAATATCTGCAAAACAAAATATCTCCTCCAATTCTGGAGTAATATAGACATCCACCGGATCACCTTGCATTAGGGTGTAATCATTTCTAAAAAAATAAGATCAAAAACTGTAAGCAAATATAAAATAATATTATATAAGAACAGAGGATTATATAAGAGTAGTGAATTGCAAAAACAAAAATTTTTTATTATTCTTAATTAGTTGAATTCTTGGTTGACCATACAGCTGTTTCGAATATTGTCAAATATCTATCATCGGTGGTCTTAAAATTATTGCTTTTGTATAATAATGCGTTAATTATAATTTGAGACTACAGCTACCAAGAGTTGAACTCGTACGCTGCCAAATTTAAATCTCAGAGTCAGTGTTCATTAGAAAACTGACCCAAAGCCGTACTGGACTCGTAGGTTTAAACTTAAAGTTTTGTTAATTTGCTGTGAAAGTTTTTATTAACAAATTAACTTGCTGTGTTTATATTAGAAAGAAATCATAAACCGAGCTGTAAAATTAATTAATTATAGTTATAATCGTACAATTAATCGTAGAGATTTAATTTTAGCAATGTAAAATTAACTTTTTAAACCTTATGTATTATGTATTACCTATACATATCCACTTGATTAAATTCTAGAGTGCTTAATAATAATTTCATTTGAGGAGACATTTCTGGCGGTGGTTTAGGTACAACTACTTCTGGAGATGCCGGTCTGCTAGTTTGAGCTTTTTCTTTAGCCTCTTCATCTTCGGAGGAAACATCTAAGTCTATATTAAAAAAGTTTGGAGGTGAATTTTTAGTTTAAATTCATTATATAGAACATATACTTTTAGAACTGCAAAAAAATCGGTACAGTAAATATAATAGTAAAATACAGAAAGGGAACAGAACCTTTTCTTTAAGTTTTATTTTCTTTAAGTTAAACTAAATATTTATTATTCCTTAATGTCTGTAAATAGGTTTTCTATGTTATGTATGTGACACTGATTTAATAATAGGTACATCTAGTAAAAGAACTATAAGGTTCTTAAAGTTTTAATTAAATGTTAATTGGTCATCTTAGCTATGTCAAAAAGTGTTCTGATAAAATAACATGTATTTAACAGTCATTATATATATTGTAAAATATATATAATATTATTATATTAGGAATGGTTTTAAAATCATATATAGTAATTTTTAACTTATGATAAAAATCTCCATTCTTATTGTTTAGCTTTAATAGATGCAGCTTGTATTAAATCTATTTAATTTAGACCTTTGAGGTCTGATGCATTATAGTATAATCGTAGATATCGCCATACACCATCTGTGTATATTGATATTTAATACTGCCAAATTTCTGAAACAACCAAATCCGGTAGAGATTTAAGTAAAGTCTTCTATTCTAAGCAACTATTTCCACAGTGTTCTATGCCGACAATATCCGGTAGAGATTTAAATAAAGTCCACTATTCTTAGCAACTTTTTACACTATATTCTGCACCGACAAAGTTTAGCTCTCGAGATATCGAAGTTAAAAGTTACCGCTAACAATTGACAACAAGTATAATAGTATAATTGGTTAGAATAGATGACTTTACGTAAACTCATTGCCAAATCGGAGCGCCTTTAATTTAGAAATCCTACTTTAGTTAATTATAACTTTTACTATAACGCCCCTATTTGTACTATTTACTATTTGTAAATTTTTGTTCATAGAAAAGAAAACATACCATCTTCCTCTCCAATCTCATATAAATATTGAGTCCACATATTATTCGGAAAAGTAGGATCAGTAAGTTGTTCACGATCAATAAGTTGTGGTGCAGATTGTATACCAATTGTAATACGTTTTCTGGTGACATTATCGAATTTAACCCCTTCAGGTGGTATTAATTCCACATAACCATCACGTGTGTCTGCACATTTACGAAATGTGAACTCTTTGTTTTTTGTTATAGTTGGGGGATAAACACTTTGTATTTCCACATCGACTGGTTTAATATAACGTTGCTGTAATGTTAGATTTATTTCATTTTCGCTACCTAATGATACCCAACGCTTTGGTTTCTTAATTTGATGTTTATGAGCAATCCAGTCTTCATATAATTCAATACTATGTATTACAGACAATGCTAATTTAGTATCCTGAGAATCGAAAAATATAACAAATGGGTCAGCTTCTGTTTGATGTTCTGAGTTTTGGGTCAATAATGGTGCATAACCAATCAATACATAATCTTCAGGATTAAAATCTTGAAATGCCGCGTATAATGCTGGACCTTTATCAACATAATCAATTAAACTATCACGTATATATTCATATTTAAGTTGCTTCCATGGAAATCGTTGGTTAACATTTATACCAACTACAATATCCAACACCGTTTGTACTTCTGGTCTATGAAATAATGGATTAACAATTATTTATGGTATTTAAAGTTAATTTTTATATATATTTTTATATATATTACCTGATCATTATGAGTTTGCAACTTGGCAAATTGTATATATAATTGAGTGCTTCTTCAACATCATATGTATGAGCCTCAAAATCATCGTCTTCCGATTGAGGGAGCGCCCACTCCGCAATACCTGGTTTTGGTAAACTTAAAATAACCAATAAATTTAATAAGACTTTTGAGATTATGGATGACTTTTATTTACCAGGTAAGCTGATTTGGCAATGGATTTTAGGAGGTCAACTTTTTCCACTATGCTATATGTTTATATAATTTACTTCTCAAGATATCGAGAGAAGTTAATTGAGACGCTATGTACCATAGACTAGTACATGTAGTTTTGGCGCAGATTACACAAACGATGGATAACAACAAATAGACATCCAATTGTCATTATACCAAATGACATATACTGCAAATCGCTACATTTAATAACTAAACGTTATTGTTATACAGCGTAATGGAAAAAGTTGTTTACAATATTTTGTTCTAAAATTCGTTATCAAATAGCTGTGCCCGGAAAATTGATATCAAATAGAGATCATATATTATATGATATATTATAAAAATTGAATTAATGATATGTATGCTCTTACCTAAAAAGATTTGATGCATTCTCTTCCTCTTCTTCTAAGGCCGTTTGAGAACCTGATTCTTCCATTATGCTTTATTAATGTTTATTTTCAAATTTAATTCTTAGTATATGAATTTTCATTAAATATTAAGTTTTTATTTAATTTACTTGACAACAAAATATAAACACAATATTTAATATGTCTATGGCAACAATATCAAATAAGTTTGAATAAATAAATAACAATCAAGAAAGTAAATATGTTATAAAAATTAAAAACTTAAAAAAATTGACATTGGAATAATAGATCTGAAACTAATTATGTTACATATTTTGAAGGTTTAATTTATTTACTGTAAGAGAATGTTTATTTATTGTAAGAATTTAAAGATAATAATTTATATATTAAGGGCAGTACCTTAGCAATGGCAACAATGAATTATTATGCTTTTTTGCTATTAAAATCAATTTATTAAAATTATTATAAGGTACATAACATCTAATGTCACAGTTACATTGAACTCAAATATAGTTAAATTGAACTCAAATATATTTTTTTGTATCGTAACTAATCACTAACTAATGTTAATACAAAGAAGCTGAATTAGATTAAATATATTTGATAAAGCCACAAAATCGAGCCAACTTATCACAACTGAATAACTGCATTATAAACGTTTCCACTGGCTATGTTAGACCAGTTAACTTACTTGATATTCAAGCACTTCAAGCAATCTCAAGTAAATTACCTAGTCTAACGATATCAGTAGAAACATACTATTAGATTGAGAAGTAGTAGAAGTGGTATAAGTTAGAAACAATATATTAAAAATGGAAATATTTTGTATAAGTAAGATTTTAAAACTAAATATACCATTTCATGCATATCTTATATTAGGTCTGTTCCACAAGCTACTCGTAGTAAAAGTCAAGTAAAACATAAGTAAAGTACAAACTAAGAGCGTAAGTAAGCATAAATAAAATGTCAAATTACGCTCTTTATACAGAGTTTCATGGAACAGTTTTGTGTAAAATATGGTGAGAACAACAGTGACGCGAAAATAAACAATACAAAAATTCAAACTAAAATTCAAACTAAAATTCAAACCAAAACAGCTGATTCATACATCACAGAAATTTTACTTAAAATAAAATGCACGAGTAAAATCTGTGTAACATTTTCAAGTTTTGACAGGGATGTTACGCTCTCTCAGGTGCACTTGTGTATACAAAGTGTTATTCAAAGCTACAACGAGTAGCTCGTGGACAGACTTATTGTCTATATGAGACAAGTAATTGCAATCTTGATTGTAATTTTACACATTTAGCTCGCATCATTAAAAACCTATTCACATAGCAAATCTTAATTTTATTTTGATATATGTTTTTGTAGTTGCGCTCGTATATCCATAAAGAAACGTGTAAAATAACAATTAAATGTGTTTCGTGAATAAGTACTTATATAACTAATAATAAATTATTCTTCATAAATTTGAGTTTCTAACGAAAAAATGTTACAAATTGTTTCTTTCCTTTCTCTTCCAAATTTTTAAGTTGAATTCTTTAACTATTGTGAATAAATAATTGTGAATCGTTACCTGACCCCCTAATTTGACGCTAGGTGTCGCCATTCAACGAAATGATTAATGTGTTCTATCCATCGACTGTGCGTTATTGATGTGAAAAATGTTTTATTGAATAGAGAAATAAAGTAATATTAAAATAAAATACCTTTAAGAGATATTAAGGTTTGTCTCTGCAGTTTTATTTTTTTAATTTGCTAAATACTAAGTCATAAACATCCACTTAATAAAACATATAAAAGAGTACGCGATACGTAATGAAAATTATTGATTTTTTTGCTATTGACGTAGCTGCGAATTTTTGCAAAATATTTAAAAAAAAATTAACTTTAATCGCAACGAAAAATATTTAAATTTATTTTATTGATATGTAAATGCATAACCATAAATATTAAGCAAAAAATATAATAAGTTAAAGCGAACTGGTGACATCATCAACTTGGTAAAACTGAGACAGCGCCTAAGCTGACTCTGACAGTGAATAATAAGTTTTCACATTTGGCTTAAAGAATTTTACAAGAAATAATTGTTTATGGTGTTTTTTTTCTTTTTAATACTTACAGATAATAAAATAAAAACCATTGTAAAAAACCAATTGGAAGATTTTATAATAAAATCGCATCTAACAAAATGGATCGTAAAGCAGAGTTGGAACGTAAAAAAGCCAAATTGGCTGCTTTACGTGAAGAGAAAGACCGTAGACGACGTGAGAAAGAAATGAAAGATATGGAAGAAGCGGCTGGCCGTATAGGCGGTGGTATTGGTGTTGATAAGGATCAACGGAAGTATGTTTAAAAATATATATTTTTTACAACTAGTTTAAAAAATACGTTCCATAAATTTTTTACAGAGACTTAGATGAAATGTTGTCCTCTTTGGGTGTAGCACCTGTTTCTGAAGTATTATCTTCATTGTCTTCTGTCACATCTATCACTTCAGATAATTCAAATACACAAACGCCCGATGCAAGTCTGCAAACCAATATGAATGGCGTAAAGTATGTAAATTTTTGTTTTCTATATTGTAAATACTTATTATATTAATTATTTTTACAGTGGTAGCAAGAAAAATTCACTTAATCTTAGCATCTATAATGTGCAAGCCACAAACATTCCACCTAAAGAGATGCTTGTTTACTCAAAGCAAACACAAACCAACAGTACTGGAGGTCATGAACGTGATGGTTGGTATATTCTGTTAAGTGCTTAGTTATGTATATTTATATATATAAATATTTAGTTGCTATTTCAGTTTAATTGCTTCTTCAATGTGTTTTTGTCATATGTCTAACCTATGCTTTTCATCCAATTTTTACTTTTTCAAAGAATGTTTCTATAACTCTTATTAAATTCAACTATCTCTATCTATGTTTCTATCTTTAACATAATTAAAGTTCTATATATATATATAAATAAATTACCTAATTTAATTAAAAGAAAAGTTTCTGAAATCTATAATTCTTATTAAATTAAACTATTTCTTTAATTTAACATTATATATAAATAATTTACTTAATTTATTTAAAAGAAAAGTTTCTGAAATTTCTATAACTCTTATTAAATTTAACTATTTCTTTAATTTAATACAATTAAAATTAAATTTGATTACCTGATGGTCAATATGACGGTACTGACTATTTTACTTAATATAAACTATTGCATTTAATAGAGAAGTTTCAGAAAGTAGTGAATTACAACAACAAAAATTCTTTTTATATTGTTTTAATTAATTGAATTTTTGGCTGACCAGACAGCTGTTGGCCAAATACCCATCATCAGTGGTCTTGGAATTATTTCTTTAATAAATCTTAAATAATTTTCTGAGACGCAAGTACCAAGGACTGAGCTTGTGCTCTGCCTAATTTAAAGATCAAAGTATATTATTAATTAAAATAATATAAAAAGAATTTTTGTTGTTGTAGTTCACTACTTTTCAAAACCTTATAATTAAACTTATTTATAAATATTTCACTGAATTTAATTAAAAAAAAACTCTGAAATTTTAACTAAACTATATCTACTATTCATTGCATGTTTTGTTTATCTTTATTGTAAAAAGACAAATATTCTTTTATACTTAAATTAATATATATGAAATTCAAATATATATAATTTTACCACTACATAGTAATAAATTTACATTATAATAGTGAAAAATTATAGATAGGTTTGTTCTTTCAAACTACTAACCTTATATGTTGTTACAACGTTTTTTTTTTCAAATCCCACCTAAATATTTTGTTTTTTAGATTATTTATTTTTATTTTTTATTGACTATTTAAGTTTATATTATTAAATTTTGTTTTCTAAACATTTTACAATGTGTATTATAGTTTTTCTTATAATCAACAGTTATTGCTTTAAAAAAAAGTAAATCTTGAGTTAGGTAACTAATTTAGTAATAATATATATTTATATCATCAAACAGTCAAGCTGCTTTGCAGTTCTTGAGTTCATTCCAATTTACAATTAGACTTATATTTAGGTCACAGCCTACTACGAAGACAAGCTATGTGACTGGGTTTTAATCTATAATGACTTTTGTCCGAATGGTGATGTCTGCGGATGGGGACAGAACTGTATTCCACCTCATGTGTCAGTGTCCATTAGAAGACGATTTAAAATATTTGGATCCTCCTGCGAATTTTGGAACTTTGCCAAGCTTACAGGCTTGTTAGGTTAGTTCATTTTCATTTGGAGTGTAGTCATGCTTTTCAGTGTTGTGTATATACTGAGCACTACAGTTCTTCTGAGTACAATACTAATCCGTGATATCACAACGGGGCATTATTTGAGCTGAAGTCAGCTTTGAACTATATTTAACGGATACATATCTTTAAACAAGATATCATTGCTTTACGAACAATTTTGAAATATTTGCAAAACCAACACATACCATAACAAACATGCAAGCAAACTATCTTATTGTATAACGAACAATTAAGCACAAATCGAAATGTATCTACAATATCTGTACTCATGTTAGCCCTTCTTAAATAAAAAGAAATTCAGTGAATTCATTAAAATGTCCAGTAAAGATATCAGTTTAATAGCGAGTCTACTGATGGCTTATAGTAGACTGTTGAATAGATAATATCCATGCTATAAGGAAGACATGAGAGGTGCGCCAAATCTGCTTTGTCAAAGCATAGCTCTAACGCGATGTATATTAAACATAACAAGCAATTACTTTCCAAAGAATCTTAGCTACCAGGTCTTTTTCAAAAGACTACCTTAAATTTTATTAAAAATTCCAAATGGTTTTAAACTCATCGAATTTTGTGTGGTACTACAATAGATCAAAATGTCCTAAGTGACACCTTAGAATCGTCGCTATTACGTAGCCAGATTTAATATTTTATTAGAACATTTTACATAAAAATAATTTCTTTAACATTTATTACATATTTTTATTTAAAAAAAATATATATATGTATAAGGATATAAAATATATAATACATATAATAAAACTCAAACACTTCTGTAACATTTTCAAATCACACAATCTTAATGATATAACCTATGAAAGCACACAATTAAACTGTTAATGCATTATTAAAAAATATTTTACATTTTTAAAACTCTGAATAATTTTTCAATACATACAACATAATCAATATATTATAATAATATATAAAAATACACAATTTATATTGCAAATACATTTATTTTGATTATTAAACTCTGTATAAATTTCCAAAAACCGATATTATTTGAAAAACAATTTTTGTTGTGTATTTACCATATAAATGCATTAATTATTCATATTATAGTATATACAATGTATATAAACAAAAAATATTATTTTATTAGTTCCAATCTTCTACATTTATAACGAGTGTCCCCCTCTTGTTTAAGCTGTTCCCCATAGTTTCAGTATCCATTAATCATTGTTAAAATATTTTTAAAAATTAACTGAAAATTATAATGTAATAAAATAACAAATTTAGTTCTTTCTTGCCATTCCTCACCTCTGTCAGGATATATGGAGGATTGGTGGAGACCACGTAAAGGTACTAATATACTAAAAAAATAAAAATAAAATGACTAAAATATATATAATTAATATTTTTAGCAACTTTCATACATTCTGCACATAATATTGAAAAGCAATTTATTTATTTAATGTTTTATAGAATAAAAAATTATTATTTAATATTTTATTATTATAAAATTTTTCAATAAACAGTTTTTTAACCTAATCGATTATTTAAAACTAATAATAAAAAAAATTTCTTTATTTTTTAATTATTATGTTATAATTTTATAAATATATATTATTAATCATATCTGTAATAAATATATTTTTTATTTTTATTTATTTATATTTTTATATTATTAAAAATTTTAAACAAAAATTTTTGCAATCGATTATTTAAAACTAATATTTAGTAATAAAATTATAATTTTATTTTTATAATATATAATTATAATTTTATAATATATATAATAATTAAATCATATCTGTAATTAAATATATATTTATATATTTTTATTTATTTATGGTTTTATTATTATAAAAATATTTAAACAAACAGTTTTTGCAAATCGATTATTAAAAAACTAATACTTCTAATAAAAAAAATTATTAATTTATTTTTATAATATATAATTATAATTTTATAATATATATAATATATAATTATAATTTTATAATATATATAATAATTAAGTCATATATCTAATTAAATATATATTTTTATGTTTTCATTATTATAAAAATATTTAAACAAACAGTTTTGGCAAATCGATTATTTAAAAATTAATAATTATAATAAAAAAGTTATTAGTTTACTTTTATAATATATAATTTTTGAAACATATTTCTAACTAAATATATATTTTTATGTTTTTATTTCTAGCTCATGCAACGGATTATTATGGTAAGTTTAATTGTTTCTTGTTTGCTTCAAAGAAAATGTTTTGTGTTTCTTTGTGTGTAGCGTAGTTGTTAGTAATTAATTCAAAAAAAAAAAAAAAATATAAAATAATTTTTTTATATTGTATAATTCATGTTACTTTAATTTTTAGTTGTTTTTTGTTTCGTTTTATTTTCTTTAAATATATATATTATAATAAAACAAAAAGTCAGCACTTCAGTTAGTTGTGACTTTCTTAATTTTTTATGTAAATATTAAAACACACTCTTCTCCACCCATTTTATAATTGGTAAATATATATATTTTTTAATAATTATTATTTATTAATTTTGTTAATTTTACTTCTTTGCTAGAGTTTAATTTCTAGAAGTAGGTTTTCGTTTATATCTTAAAAATAATTATTGAATTCGTATTATTACATTTAATAATAACTGATAATGATATTTTAAGTTAACTATATTTTAATTATATTATAAGTTCTTTTTAATTAATATAATTTTATATATATAAACATTTTATAACGATGTTAAACAGCAGAGACTATTTACTCCCATTGGCAAACATTTGTTCAAATTGTTTCACATAAATATTGTGTGTTTCTAATGCTCAATCGCAAAATGAATATTGCATGTTCACTTATTATTCTATTATTAAACTATAAAATTTGTTTTATTTAAAAATTCATAAAAAAATTAAAATTTATAATTTTTATAAAAAATTTTATAATAGAATTAAAAAAAAAATTGCTTGCAAGTTAAATTGGGGATTTCCTAAATTAGTTGATTTTCATTAAAAACAAATTTTTTTCTAATATCTATGACATTAAATTTGCTAGTTAAAAACAACAACAAAAAACTTCATTTATTTTCTATTTTCAAGATGAGTACAATCTTAATCCGGGTTTAGAATGGGAGGATGAATTCACAGGTAGGTATCTTTTGCCATTGAACAGTGAAGAAGGAATCGACATGAAGCAAAATAGGAACGTTTGAATTCATTTTGAATATTATTTAAAATGATCTTTATCAAAATTAACTCTATTTTTTTTTATTAAATAAAACAATTCAAAATGTTTTTCACCAAACTTATGAAGGTGAAATTTCGGAAAATTAAAAACAAAAAAAAAAAACAAAAATTAATGAAAACAACCACGCAACACTTTTCTCAACTGGCATTTACTGCGCTTTTGTATTGTTTTTGTATTTGTCAATTATAATTTTCCGTGTATTGTCTATGGTTTGAGTTGCTAAATAATTTTAAGTACTATTATTATTATATACTATTTATATATACCACATGTATTCTAACTACTTGAGAAAGCTTTTCATTTAAATTTAAGTTCTTAATTTTCTTTAAAGTATGCTAAATTTATACAGTCTATTAAGTAGAGGCGCTCATAAAGGCACATTCAAAAACATAGAAATATATATTTTTAAATATATTTCTAAAAACATAAAAATAAAGTTTTAAGCATGCTAAAGTGAAAAATCTGTTAAATAGAAGTCCTTATGAAGACACCGAAATGTGGAAATATATATACATATTTATAAGAATATTTCTAAATACATAGAAACAAAGTTTTAAGCATGCAAAAGTTATACACCGAAAAGTCTTATATAGTAGCACACCCAAAAACATAGAAATATATATATATATATATATAAATATATTTCTAAATACATAGAAACGAAGTGTTAAGCATGCAAAAGTTATACAGCAAAAAATCTATTATATAGTGGCACACCCAAAAACATAGAAATATGTATAAATATATTTCTAAATACATAGAAACGAAGTTTTATGCGTACGAAATTTATTCAGCGAAAAGTCTGTTAAATAGATGCTCCCATAAATTTAAAAACATAGAAATATATATACATATGTATATAATAATTATAATTCTTATAACATAGAAACAAAGTTTTGATCATTTACTTTAAATATTTGTATATATTTACTATAATTCAATTATTATGAAATAAAAATTGATAAAATATAGTAACCAGTTATCCCTTCTAGTCGTGCAATATTGATAGTCCCCAGTTTTCATTTTCGTTCTTTTAACCAGACTGAATTGCTGATCCCGTTGGTATCCGTTTAAAAGAACTTGTTATAATTAATTAATTATTGTGTAATATATCTTCATTCCAATCATTTATGCAGTTAAAACTGTGTTAAACGAACATTCTCATAAAGCGATATCGCTCTGTATTGTGCCATGTTGCTTGTCCCCGGTTTTCATTTTCCATACTAATTTCCTACTTTTGTTCTTAATTCTTAATGGAGCAGAGTTGCTTAAAGCTTTGGCTGTATATACTATTCTTTTATTTATTGCTTTCACATGAAAGAGTTAAAACTGAAAGGCTATTCTATAATATATATGTAAAATACGCTTACTATATTCAGAAACTTATTAAAGTTATGAAGAAAATATATATCGATGTTGTAAAACATTAGTTGATCATCAGCGATATTGTTTAGGTAGATATGTAGTTCTATTGTTCTCCTTATGAGTGAATTCCTTAGTAGCCAAAAGGGTTCCATTACCTCACCACTATTGCGAGCTCTTCTAGATTTTCTGTAAAGCAGTAAATGTTCTTCAGTTTATATAGGTAGATCATATCCAAACACATTGTTTATATCATTGACTAGTGACTAGTATAGATAAACATAATGTCAATAATATATTTCTTTAACAAATCAAATTGTTGCATTTTTTTTAATACATTATTAAATATTCTTATTAAGTCTTTATATAACCAAATAGCATCGATAACATTTTTCACTAATTAACATATATCACACTCCTTAAATGAACGAATATTTTAATATTTTGATACATCAAAGTTTATCTTTATATTAATGCAGTAACTCACTATTAATATAGTTAATATAGTTAACTCACTATTTTACTCAATGAATATCAGATTACTTATCTTTATATATTTAATCCATTATTCATTGCAGGGATCAGCTTATAAATCTTTATTGAATTTATTACTAGTTATTTATATTTAATAATTCATTAAGGTGATCCGATTATTCTTATTCATCGAGTTAACTCGTTATTTAATTTCTATGGTTAATTGAGGTAACAAGATCATTTATTTTCACTGAATTAACATATTATTTATTAAAGTGAGTAAATTATTTATATTCATCAACGTAACTTATTTCTTTGGTCCAATAGTTATATGAACTCATCACATTCTTTAGCTCAATCGAATAAACTCATTATTTTAATCCTATAATTAATGATCACATTATTTACCTCCACCGAGCTATCTCGTTCCTTTAATTTAATCCTTCATTAAGGTGACCGAATTATTTATCTTCATCTTCCTCGTCACATTATTTAGCTCAATCGAATTAACTCATTCCTTTAATCCAGTAATTAATTGAGCTGATCACATTATTTATCTCCATCAAACTAACTCGTTCCCAATTCAATCTAATTTGTTTTAATTCCTTATTAGGATAACCGAATTATTTATCTTCAATGAGTTAACTCTTTCTTTTAATGCTATGGTTCATTGTGGTGTCCATACAATTTATCTCCAACGAGTAAACTCGTTCTTTTAATTCAATAGTTCATTATGGTGTAATTTAAAAAGATATTAATTGAGCTGATCACATTATTTATCTCCATCGAATTAACTCGTTCCAAATTCAAGCTAACTTGTTTTAATCCCTCATTAGGATGACCGAATTATTTATCTTCAATGAGTTAACTCTTTCTTTTAATGCTATGGTTCATTGTGGTGTCCAAAATATTTATCTCCAACGAGTAAACTCGTTCTTTTAATTCAATAGTTCATTATGGTGGTTTAAAAAGATATGATTTAGTTAAATCATACTTTAACGAAACATAATTTGAAATTCTAATTTTTAATAAAATTATAAAAGAATAAAAATTTTTTTTATAAGATAATAAGAGTGTTTCCTATTTGGTTTATATTATGTATACCATAGGTAAAATCGTATCGCAGGAGACTTGACTTTTTTTAAATTGCTCATTGTATAAAAAATATTTTACTTTAAAAATTTAGTTCTATAGTGAACATACAACTGAATTACTAAAATTCAGAATTTTTAATTAAAAGAGAACTACTTAATATAATAATAATGAACTAGTTCCCTATTTGTTTGAAAGGAACTGGATCTCTAGGCAGATTTTAAAATAAAACAATATTAAACCAAATCCTCATGATAAAAAAAAATTGAATAAATTCGTATATAGTATATATATACCTATATATATCATATATTTTTATCATATATATGGAATTATAATTATAACCTAAAATATCGTAATCTAATCCTCAAGCAATAATATATTATGGAATATAGAATATAAAATTATTTTTATGTATAATAATAATATTTAAAAAAAACTTTAAATTTAAATGAAAAGCTTTAAAATAAAACCTACATATAATAACAAAATTAAAAAAGCATGTCTTAAAAACTAATACTTCATATTCCAAGTGACGTTGCTCATACATATCTTAAACGTTTCTGCATTTGTATATATATTTATTTTATATATATATTATACTAATCAATATACTAATATTAATCAAGTTTCATAGTGGTGACCAAGAAAAAAAAACAAACAAATTAATTACTCAAAAGGTACTAATTTTTATGGTAACAGTTTGAATTTTGTATCTAACCGTTTGCAATATCTTGTATCTCAACTCACTCATTTCACCAAAGTCGCTACTATGTAACACAAACTGAAACTAATTCTATTAAAACTCTATTAACTTTCATTAATGCATAGGATCATTTCTTGGGGCAAATTATCTTTTTAACTTTTTTTTTTAATTATTATTTTTCTGTTTAAAGTGCCTTTCCTCTTATATCAAAAATTTCAATATTCATTTACCCTTTAGTAAATATAAAAATGTCTTAAGGATATTTATATAAATAGATTTATATATATATGTAAAACAATATGTAGACGACTTGAATAACGAAGTTTCGACCCTAACTCTAGTCAAAATTAGAAGTTTTTTTAATTTAAAATATAATCCTTTTTTGATCACCCAGCTTTTCACGGTCAGGGCCATCCTTAAAGCTCTCTATTATTAAGCCAGTAAGACACAGTTGCTAAAATGAGAATAAACGATAACTTCTTTACATCTCTCTTTTATTATGGTAAAATCATACGCTACTAAGAGGCTATTACTGCAATGAAAGCAAATAATAATTTGACGGATTAATGTCAGAATGGATATATAAAAACTTTCTAACCAAGGTCTTATTTTTTATTTGAGACCGCTGGGTGGATAAACTACCGTAACGAATGAACTAGTAAAATTAAATAATTTCGGTCTGAGTTTACAAATTTCTTTTCAACATTTTTCTGTTTAGTTAATTCTAGGTCCTTAAGAAGGATGCACTTAAAAGTCTACCAAATACATAGTATAAACTTTATTGGCATTAATTCCAATTTCAGTACCGTTTGTGGAGCTTTATTATTTTATTACAAAGACCATTTTTGTACAACATTATGTTATAGTATATAATCCACTTTGCATCGTCTATTGCTGAACGCTTAAAAGTTTCAATTTGCTCCTTTCAACAGGGACTAGCAGATGCAAATTTTATCTAATAAAATGTGAATTTTATGCGAATGGTCTAAAACAGTATTTTGGTTAATCTTCATTTTCTCACTTACTTACTGACTGCAGTCCTCTTCTCTCAGTGTAGCATAGTACCAAAATGGCCCTTAGTGATCTATTAGCAGTGATCTATTAGTAGTTTTACTTTTCTTGAGCTGTGTCTATAAGTTCTACAATTTTTTGGTGATGAGCAACCCATCACCATATCCAATTTTTTCAGAAATAAGTGTGAACACTTGATACTCTTATGCACCCTGGTGTTGACGTGTGTGAGAGCGTACTCTCGCATAAGGTTAATTTACTATCCAAAAATAATGAGCGATTTAGCAGCTTGTGAGAGAAACCCCATAACGTTCAGTTTTAATATGTTTATATGTTCATTTACTGATATTTACTTTTAAAAATATCCTTAAGACTTTATATATATATAAAAAAAAATCCTTTAGAAAATATTGTCTCTTAAACTATCTCCAAATGGTTTAAAAATTTTAATTATAAATCATTTTTCATTTGTTTTGTTTTATTTATATTAATTTCAAATATTTGGAAAAGAAAAAAGCAAAAGCTATGTGTTCCTAATTTTGTATTCATTGGTCGGTGCTTGTGTGGTCTCTCGTCTCTATTTGGTGCCACAACAGGACCTCATGACACTCGACATACACCAACAAGCGTACATACTCAAATACATGTGAACTATTATTTCCTATTTTAAAGTCTAGCACTTAAGCAATGAGAAACAATAATTAATTTAAGTTTAAATATAAAATATACATAATATAGTAATAAAGACTTTTTTATATAAACTGGGTGGAGAAATTTGCAAGTTATTAATATGATTTACTTTTCACTTTCACCACAAGTCAGATATATATATATATATATATATATATTATAAATACAGCAAACATTAATGAAATACATTGAAATTGGCTTTTAGTGAATATGATTTCATTCTTGTGATACAACCAATATTTTTACTGTAAATTTTTATAAATAATAAAAAAAATACAAAAAAATGTACAAATTGTTATCATCTGTGTACATTTTGAATTATATATTTGTGCATTTGGATACACACATTACACAAAACATCAAATGACATTTACACTTGTCTATTAGTATAAAAAATACTAAATTTACACTAAAGTAATACACACACACGCCCTAAACTCATGTGAATGCAGATAACATAACTTACTTGTGTAATGTCATCTAATGTCAGTTTTTCTACCATACCAGCAATGAAAACTGTGATACAGTCAAAACTCGTTTTTACAAACACAGATGTTTCTTTATTCGACGCTGTGCAGTGTTCAGGTGTTTGGTTGGCAGAATTTGTAAATATTGATTGCAATTGCTTAAGAATTATTTATTTAATTATTATATTATATATGAAAATTATACAGACTATGTTTGTTAAACGAGTTTTTACTGTAATCTAAAGCAAAAACAACAGCATTTACTTATTGCCCGTTCTACTTAAAAACATTTCTAATTTAACTTTCACAGTGTAAACAAGGTAATTAACTGCATTATTAATATTATTTATTAAATATTTTATAAAGAATTAAGAAGCATTTAATAAAATATATATAACATTATTAGAAATCGGTAATGAATTTACGATCGACATATATAAATGTGGCTAACCATTTTGCACTATTATTATTTTGCTAATTTATTGCTAATTGCAGCTTCATATTAAAATAATTTATGTTCTAATCATAATCAAATATACAATATAATCCAAATAAGGTATTTTTATTTAAGTTGTCGTTAATGCAATAAATCAAATTAATAATTATAAAAGAACAACCCATCTATAACCAAATAGAAAAAATTCTTTAAACTACCATAAAACTCTTTAAAATATAAATATTAAATGTGAAATACAAATATATGAGTTAAAATCTCCACTTTAATATATATAACATATTTACTTTAATAATAAAATGCTTCTAAGCCCGAAATTACATTGATGGGTTAATTTTTCGGTTTTTAAATTTGTCTATGTAGCAAACTTGAAAAGATATAATCATACTCTCCTTTCTCGCTCTTCAATTAGAAGTCGGTTTCAAACGACTATTTGACGCTTGTGAAAAATAGATCACTGAACTTCACTTGAGGGATAATGCCTCACATTACATTGTGACACCACATATGGAAGTAACATATTCAAAAAAAAAAACAAATGGAGAATATAACAGCGAATCATAATAAAAAGCTAATATTAAACAAAATCAAACAATAAATTGTGCAAATTTTAAATAAAACTCAGAAATAATGTTAAATTTAAATGTTAAATATGCTTGAAGACAGGTTATGATATAAGAAAATAATATATGAGTAGACAACGACAACAGTCGTAGCTGTTGGTCAGAGGTGAAATGGAAAAATGTTCTTATCTGCTTTGTCAGTACCCAACACTTGTCAAAAGGTACACATCTCCTTTAGGGTTTTCGTTTCTAAAATGTCTGTCCGTTATTACTAACATAAGCATTATCTATCTGCTCTACTAAAGCAATGAAGCGATTTCTTATATAGGCATCTCCTGAAAGTGTTAGCATGCTTTTATATTTATATGCATATATATCTATGTAATGGGTCCAATTCTCGGGCTTAAGTGAGCCGATCTTATTTATATAAGACGATCTGGCACATGTACCTACCTACGAAGAAATAATTTTTCTTTAATTTAACAAAATTATTTTTCCCAACTCAATTATCAGTTACATTTGTAAGAGGTTAAGAACTCTAACCGTACTTTTCATAATTAAAGCAAAAGTAAATTTATTATTGATTAATACTTTTTTTGAGAGAGTAAGAACTATATAATATAATACTTCATATCTTGATTTTATTTAGAGGTCAAATCTTACTCCTGAAGTACTATTAACTACTTATAATACTATAGTATTAATTATTAATATTAATTATGTACTTACAATTCTGTATAGTCTTTACTTATGAATGAACCAACTTTAAGTACTGTTCGAGTTTAATCTAAACACAAGATTTGAATTAATGATAAACGATATTTCATCACTATTACATGATTCAAGTATGTCTCCAGTTCAAATAGAAATGCATTATATAAATAATCTTCTCAACAAGAAAATGTCAACTCTTCCAAGTAGTAAAGGACAGTTCTGGTCATAATGTCTTTGAGTGAACGGTTTTAATCAGTTCTAGAAACTCCTGCCCTCTTTTGATATCATTCTCATATAAATCATTTCCATATATATATACCCTGACTTCCAGATCAGCCTCTAAGGTTGACCATACAAATATTATAAAAAATCTCCTATAGTCACAGTGCTCTGCTTTATAGAAAGACCAGAACCGTGTTATAATACAGCTAGTACAATACAACTAAATACTGTTATCTGTTCTAATCTCTTTTATTCTAATATAATTTATAGGTTTGCAATGATAAATTTTAAATAATATACCTACTACACATATAAAATATACACCTACAGTATTAAACATTATAAATGTAAAAAACATTTGTTTTTCCAATATTACTTTTGGACATTATGATATATATAGTATTGAAAGGACTTCAGAAAACGCTATTTATTTCATATGACTATAAAATTGTATGTGAAATATATCTTCTTCTACAGAATATTAAAGTCCATTCCTTATATATATATAAGCACTACCCGCACGTTTAATAGCGCACAAAATCATCATTAACATTACTTAAATGTCATACCGAACTACAGCATTAAACTTTAAGTATATCACCGCTTTATCGCACCCTGTATTCGTACTGTTAGGGACTTGTAATTTTCGTCGTAAATTTACTTAAAAAGCCAATTAAAAATCGATTACATTAAATTAAATGCAAAAACGAAACGAAAACAAACCAAAAATCAAAGAAGTAGAATTTGTTCCTGTTCTGTCGATTGTCATGTTCCTCTAGCTGTGTTAGTTTTATACCTTAAACAGTGCTTGCATTTGATGCCCAAGGAGATGATGAAGAGAGCTCTCTACCACATTTGGATCATGGTTTTTCATCGAAGCTACCCCCTGGTTACTTAACACATGGTCTACCAACTGTAAAAGATGTTGCACCGGCTATAACACCCTTAGAACAGAAAAAAGAACAAGAGGAAAAGAAAGAAAGTGAGTTTTCATTAAATTTAAGGAACTGACTCTGTCACTCATATGGAAACATATATAATAAATTTCAGTTAAGGAACTGTCAGAAGAACAAAAACAAATGATCATATTATCCGGAGACTTCCAAAGGTTTGTATTACGTGCAGGGCGCGTTATTGAGCGTGCACTCTCTGAAAATGTAGATATTTATATGGACTATATTGGTGGTGGTGATAATGAGGATGGAAATGATGAGCGTTCTCATGCACGACTCTCTCTGAATCGTGTATTCTATGATGATCGCTGGTCAAAAAATCGTTGCATCACATCTATGGACTGGTCAACTCACTTTCCTGAGCTAGTAGTAGCATCTTATCATAATAATGAAGTACGTATATTTACATATAAATATATATTTCATATAAAATTTGCATATATTCTAAATTTAGGAAAGTCCCAATGAGCCTGATGGTGTTGTTATGGTTTGGAATACTAAATTCAAGAAACATACTCCAGAAGATATTTTCCATTGTCAAAGTGCTGTCATGTCTACCTGTTTCGCCAAATTTAATCCTAATTTAATACTCGGTGGCACATATTCTGGACAGATAGTTTTGTGGGATAATCGTGTACAGAAACGTACGCCAATTCAACGCACACCGCTTAGTGCTACTGCACACACACATCCGGTATATTGTTTACAAATGGTCGGCACACAAAATGCTCATAATGTTATATCAATATCGTCGGATGGAAAATTATGTTCCTGGAGTTTGGATATGTTATCGCAACCACAGGATACTTTAGAGTTACAACAGAGGCAATCGAAAGCCATTGCTATTACATGTATGGCATTTCCAGCTACTGAGATTAATAGTTTAGTTATGGGCAGTGAAGATGGTTACGTTTATTCGGGTATGTATCGAATAAATTTATTATTCAGTTTGATTTTATTTATTTTTTTTTTTTGTTGTTGTTATTTTCTTAAAGCTTCACGTCATGGCATACGTTCTGGTGTTAATGAAGTATATGAAAAGCATTTAGGACCAGTTACGGGCATTTCTACGCATTATAATCAATCCTCTCCTGATTTTAGTCATCTGTTCCTAACTTCTTCGATTGACTGGACAATTAAATTGTGGTCATTAAAGGTAACAAGTTCTTATAGAATGCAATAGAATTGAGTATAAATAGTATTGAATATAAATTATAAGGATTCGTATAGCAAAGAAAAGACAAGAACAAAAATTTAATTAATTTGTTAATTTATTGAAATTTATTTGCCAAGTATTTGGCAATGCTTGAAACAGCGACTAAATTTTTGTTCTTGTCTTTTCTTTGTTGTTCGAATTCTTCTAACTTTTAAAAATAGCTTCTTTGTTGTCATAAAAAGCGTAGCTTTCGGCAAAAATAATTAATAATAAAAAATTGAATATAAATAGAATAGAAATAGAATTGAATAGGAATAGAATACAAACAGAATAGAATGCTATTAATTTGAATGGAATTATTTGAATTGAATTGAATTAAATTAATTTAATTTGAAATTAATGAAGTAGAGTAGAATCGAATAAAATGAAATATAATACAGTATTATTTAATAATTTTAAAATTATAGAAAAACAGAATATTTGGGGAGTTGATGTGGTCTGTTTTTAATAATTATGGTCAAAATTTAGCTTTTAAAATATACTAGGAATATCTTAATTGCAATTAAGATATTGCTAATATCTTAATTTGTATAGAATTTAAATAGAAAGCTTATATTAAACCAATTCTTACTCTTACTTCAATATTTAATTTGTAATTCTATCTCATTATGAAGTATTTATTTTAAAAGTTATTAAAAAAGTTTAAGCATTTTAGGTTAATTAGTATATATATATTATAACACCTAAATTAATGTTTATATATTTTATATGTATATTAATATTTCCTCTTATTAACTTTTAGGATACTAAACCACTTTACTCATTCGAAGACAATTCTGATTATGTTATGGATGTTGCTTGGTCACCCATTCATCCGGCTTTGTTCGCTGCTGTTGATGGTAGCGGTCGACTTGATTTATGGAATCTTAATCAAGATACCGAAGTACCCACAGTATCAGTAACTGTCGATGGTGCGCCAGCGCTCAATCGCGTTTCGTGGACTCCATCGGGTCTGCATCTAACTGTAGGCGATGATGCGGGTAAATTATATGTATACGATGTGGCTGAGCACTTGGCGCAACCGTCACGTGATGAATGGTCGCGTTTCAATGATACGCTAAATGAGCTCAAAATGAATCAATGCGATGAAATTTAAATACTTAATTCTTCAATGCGATTAGCGTTGCTAGAAATTTGCTTTCATAAAAGACTAAAATACTTTCACCAATCTAATAATATAAATTTACCTAAACATAAACACATGTTAAATAAGTATATAACGTGTATATGTTTTTCTTGCTTTATAAATATTGTAAATTTTTTTATATATAGTTAATAAAAATTTGTTTGTAACTATTCTAAATACTAATATTTCCTTTATTTTCCTTTTTATAGTATTATTTAATAAGTTTAACTTATATTTATATTTAAAAACGTCTTGAACTAATGTCTCAAATTAAAATATTCTTTTTAAATTTTTTTTAATGAATTTTTACTAAATGTTACTTAAAGTGCAGCATATAATAATTTTAAGTTTAATGTTTATAATTATCGGTGAAAGTAATAATGAAATTATAAAAAAATTATATTGTATTTAATTTATGTTTTAAATATGAAAATTATTTAAACGGTATGCGATTTAACTACTGTGAAGGTGAAGTTACTTTTACGTATGAAATATTTTCGCTTGCAGCATGAAAACGAAAAGATTTTGTTATAGAAAAACGAATGTGAATGAAAATAAAAATTGGATATTATATATAAAAAATATTTTATTATATATGTATTAATATATCAGTAAGAAATTATAAAGATATTAACTATATCGATAATAAATCGTAATGTATTATGAAAATCGCATAGCATTTTCTTTTGTATGTTATAGAGTATATTGTGTGAACTGTTCGAATTTATTTAATTTAATACGAGGGCGGTTTGATAAGTCAGTGACTTTTTGAATTTCCCGCGCAGTTACTCCAAATGCAACAGTGCTGCCGTCAGCTATAATCTACCAGTGGGAAACTTTCTAATTTTGAGCAAGCTACGTCGTTCAGTTGGTGTTTGATAGCCGTTCAAAGCAGACAACCTCATGAATTTTTAATAAAATGGCAAAAAGTAAATTACGTGTGCTGATTAAGCATTACTGGCCAAAATCCACGAATTGGGATACGAACTGCTACCCCATCCAGCATATTCTCCAGATTTAGCCCCATGCGACTATTTTCTGTTTCCAAACCTAAAGAAATGGCTGGGCGATAAGAGATTTGAATCGAATGAAGAAGTCATTACCGAAACAAACGCATATTTTGAGAGCTTGGGCAAAACCTATTACTTGGAGGGAATAAGAAAATTAGTATCCTGCAGTTGGACTAAATGTATCCAGCTAAAAGAAGATTATGTGGTGGTCTGGACGCAGATCGAAAATCAACAGAGCGTGGCTTAAAATGCCAACATAAAAGAGACCCTCCTCGAAGTAATGTGAAGGCGGTTCCGAAGGGGAATAAGTCTCGCTGAAGAGGGAGACTAATGTTAGGAAGTCGACCAAACCATTCCAACAAAAAAAAAAGTGATTATGTAGAAAAATAAAAAGTTTATTTTCCGCCCTCGTAATCTTTAGCCTACATTACAATCTCAATCATAGAATAGCCTCTCTAACTGAAAGAGAATAACACGTTTTGAATGAGGAAGCATATACTTGAGTGCAAATAATTTATCACGTCGATAACCAAATAATGGTTAATAGAAAACATTCTCAATGCCTTTTATTAAAGTTCTACAGCGTTCGCGGTTCTTTGCTCTACTGGTAGAATTAGCTAAGAACTCCATCATCCTTAGTATCCTATTCCTTTCACAACAGATTTGCAGGTTGTTGTTGTTGTAGCCAAAGAAATATTGATATTGTAAGGAATACGGAAGAAAGTACAGGTAGGGTTATCACGGAGGAAAAATGTTACCCTTTCGACTGGGGGCACCCATAATTTAATAAAACTATGAGTCGCAATACTCCACTATGTTGTAAACACATAAGGTAAGGAACAGCATAAGATAAAGCAAAACTTCTATAAAAAATATAACTAGAATTCTTATCTCAGCTTAAATCTGGTGGTTATCAAAGCCGTGCTAGTAGCGTTTTTGCCTTAATAGCCGAAAACATAGTTTTCTATAAATATGAACAGACAAATGTATATGAATAGGTCTACTCAACTTATCAATCTATTGTAGGTCTTAAAACTGTCTTTAATTTTTTCTTCACAAATGAGTTATCATAATGCTTCGAGACAAAAGTTCTCAGAATTATTGTTAATGTATCCTAATATGTAATTCATATACAGTTCCATAGAGAAGTAAAAGATGAAATATAGAAATAGAGCACAGATGACCCTAACAATCTGGTTCGCCAAATGATGGATAATCTAATAGGAACTAATCATCGTTGTCATATCATAATCATAGATAAATCTGGCAAGAAAAGTATAAACCCAATGTATTATGAAATCAGTAGATAATTAGAATGTCGGACTGCCTTTCGATCGACAAAAGTTAAGCTCTATAGGTTGCTCATTCTACAAGTACGTCTGTGTGACGCAGAAGCATGAACACTATCACAGAATAATAAAGCTGCACTGAAAGTTTTTGAAAGAAAATTTCTTTGTAAGATCTTTGTTCTTGTATGAGTTGGTGATGACTACCACATCCGAATGTACCACAAAACTATACCAGCTTCATCATAACATTGATTTCATTCAGTAAGTTAAGTTGCTAACTTCACTGGGTTGTTGATCTCGTAAGTATGGATGAAGATGCTTCAGCGAAAAACTTATTTAAAGCGATCATTGTAGAAAGTAGGCGTAGATTGGAACGTTTCTTCAGTGGAGTGATCAAGTTGAGAAAACCCACATTTGGCTTAACGTACGAGATTTTGGAAGGTGCGCACACAGTATTGGCATCTGACTAGAAGTGCTGAGTCAGGCCGACACTCAATAA